AAAAATGAAAATATCTTTACTGACCATCTCTTCATCTTGACATCTCTTGACATTCTCTGACATCTTGACATTCTCTGACATCTTGATTCTCTCTTCACTGCTCCGAAGTACATGCTCAAACTTTTCCTAGATTAGTGGTTTTGGGTAACTGGAAACACACTCAACAATTTTATTACCTTCCCATCACAGAAAAGTAAAAAAGGTAAATCGATAATCCCCTTGGTTGTCCACAATTCCTCCTTTACATTATAGCAGGATAAATACATTTCACCACTTCTCCTCCTCTTCTCACCAGGTGGATAGGATCTCAGATAGCAATTCCAAATAAATGATGCAAAATAAACCTCATATAGCATAAATGATTTAATTAAAATAACAACAACAAAAATATAAAAGCTGATCCCCTCACAGAGAGAGTACACATAGCACTATAACAACCCCTTAAAGAAAGAGATCCACCAATTATGGCTGGACCTGCAGAGCCATACCTACACCATACTTGAAATGAACACATAGCAAATGTATGCTATATAAAGTTTAATTTGCATTAGTGAGTCTGTTTCCAATTTGTTACACAAGAGCACTGATCTGAGAGAAAGTTGAGCATGTAGTTTGGAGGGAAGAGAGGATCACGCTTATATGAGACTTTCACAAGAGATACTTTAGCTTTTTTATACACTTTATTTAATATATGCATAAATACTGTATATTGGACATGTGCACCGAAAGAAATTCAGTTCGGTTCGTTTTTTTCGTTATTTAATTTTTCTGCATTCCGGTCCAAAAGTCAATTTGTTTCAGGATTTGGATTTAGGACGAATTCTAAATTTTTGTTAATTTTGGATGAGTTAAATTATGTTTACTAATAGTTCTTGCCTATACGGCTTCCCACCACTAAATTAAGTGCTCACTGTTTTCCCCAAACATGTTGGTTGAGATAAAATACTTTCAGGGGTATTCACAAAAGAGTGAAGAGTTTGGAGAAGACAGGAGAAGTGAGCAATCTAGGCCAAAATAGATGATTTAGAAAAATTCTCCAATTCAGCTCACTTTCGAGTTCAGCTATTTTGTCCTAGATTGCTTACCTCTCCTGCCTTCTTCAAACCCTTCACACGTTTGTGAATAGCTGTTTATATTACACCCATGTCAGATATTTGCTTTTGGGTTCAATGAGTCGTCACAAACACTTTGGCTTGTTGTTATCTATAGTGGGCATTTTCAGGGTTTCACTTGAAAGTATTATTCTTATGTTTGCTAAGTAAATGTAGTTCACAGCTTCTTTAAAGGTAATTACCAGTTCACATGTTCCTAATTAGTATCCAAGTTTTTTAGCAGTCATGACCTACCATCTCTGGTTTCTACACTAAGCTGTAGTCCAAGGTTGCGCCGCGGATTCATTACCCATAAGTTACTGGTTGCAGTGATGTCGAATTCCAGCCAACCTTCCTCAGAAGCCCACACTGTCTGAGTATCCAGGAGGAAGAAATCAGATTCTCTGTTATTGGAACAAAACAAGAGCATCTTAGTATACAGTTCCACATCAAGCTAAACAACATAAGCATGTACCCCAGCCTTTTATTTTTTTTTAGCTTTGTATAGAGTGGGGACGTTTCTGTGACCCCTTTAGGGGGGAATTCCCTTATTGTCTGTCCCTGTGATGCCAGTACAAGAAATGGGAGGTGTAGTCATCACCAGGAATAGAACACACAGGCAGCACTAAAAATTGTCAAAAGTTCTAATCCATCCCCACTCTATAAATGTGTTTTTTTGTGTGTGTTCTTATTGAAAGGATTTCCTATCACTTCCTGTCCTGAAAGGAAGTAAGGAAAAATCTCACAGCATTAAAAACCTGACAAATGTTCTACCCCCCCCGCCCACTCTACTCTATCCAAATATAAATAAAATGTTTTGGCTGGAGCCATGCTTTAAAAATGTTTGATTTGTATAGTAAAGTGAACCTGTGTTCAGACCTTTGTTGCTGAAGGCATTATGGAGAAATTCATTCTGAAAGTTCACAACAAAAGGCACAGAAATCACAGCTCCTCTCTCATGTAGCTGTAGGCTTTGTGGAGAAATTCATACGGAAAGTTAATTTATAAATACTAATAATAAATATATAAATAGCAATAACAACAACAAAAGGCACTGAAATTACAACTCCTCTCTCCTGTAGCTGTAGGCTTTGTTGAGAAATTCATACTAAAAGTCCATTTATAAATACCAATAATACATATATAAATACCAATAATAACAACAAAGGCACAGAAATCACAGCTCCTCTTTCCTGTAACTGTAGGCTTTGTGGAGAAATTCATACTGAAAGTCCATTTATAAATACCAATAATAACAACAAGGGGATAGAAATCACAGCTCCTCTCTCCTGTAGCTGTAGGCTTTGTGGAGAAATTCATACTGAAAGTTCACAACAAAGGCATTGAAATCATAAGCTGGGTACATCTTAGCCATCACTAAGACAGGTCAGGACAAACTCTTCCCAGTGTTTATTATAATTATTATCATTTGGCAGATTTAGTTTACCACTTCTTTCAATGTTTTATAGTACAACAAAGAATGAATAATTGAAATATAAAATATATACTACATAGAGTTTACTTAACATCCTTATATATTTTCTCTGAAGGACATGCCTTGGTTTCATATTTTCCATAATGATATCTGTGTTCCTTTCAGAATGTTTTCACCTTTAGAATCAAGTAACTTCATCTAGAACTTGATGCATGAAATGTTATCTCAAGCCAGAAAGCTAAACACTGAATGTCCTCCAATCCACCAGTGGTCATGGAGTAAAAAAAGAAAACAGAAGCAAGCCTTTTACCTTCACAAATTGGATTTATAGACACAGTATCTGCTCAGTATAATAACATTTAGTATCTATAGCCAAATCACCAAATTCCAGATGATCTCCTTAGGATATCATAATATAGAATCCTAGAACGTGAATTATAATAAGAAGCAAAAAAAATAAATAAAAAATCACCTCTGATGTAAACCCAAAATATATACTTACCTTTCTCCAAGCTCTGACATGCTCCACAAACACATTACATCCTTCTTACTGGCAGGAAAATATTATATGTACCCCCTACATCAGGAATATTATGCTGCTGTAATTTCCTAAACAGTGCAGGAACTAAATGTTGTATGTTTATAGTTGATTTTTCCATGTGACATGTCCTATATGTATCAAGTTATCTTCCTTGCTCTTCCTTTCTATAAACAAATAATATATATAAGAAATATATTTTTTTAATTTTTTGTGTTTATA